ATTTCTTTTTTCCTGATCCATTCTATCTAGAAAAGTACACATTGTGTTGATGTCATAAAACTCTTTCTTGGTTTTAGAGATTTTCTCTGTTGTTCTTGCTCTGTATTTCATTTTTTCCACTATAGACTTTTTTAATTTCCTTTTTTGTGTTTACTTTAGGTTCTACTTGTAATTTTATTTCTAGTTTCTTAAAGGACAAAATGAAGTCATCAATTTGAGACCATTCTTATAGTACTTAGTGTATTATGTTAGCTTCAGCCTATAATTTTTTTGAAATATTTTTTATTTGTCAATGGACCTTTATTTATTTATTTATTTATTTATTTGCAGTGCTAAGAATCAAACCTAGTGCCTCATACATGCTAGACAAGTGCTTTACCACTGAGCCACTACTCCAGCCCCAGCCCATAAATTTTTATTTTTAAAATTTCATTCAGTTCAAGATATTTTCTAACTTTCCTTTTGATTGTTATTCCAATTCTCTGTGTTGTTGATTTTCAAAATATTTGGAGATTTTCTTTCTTTTTGTAATTTTTAAAATTTATTCTTTGTAGATATACTTGAGTGTATTTTGACATATTATACACACACATGGAATATAACGTATTCTAATTAGGTGGGATTTTCAAATAATGTTTCTGTATACGATTTTTAATTTTTAATTTCACTGTGATCAAAAAACATACTTGAAATGAATTTAATCTTCTAGAATTTATTGAGACTTTTTTTTGGGGGGGGGGTACTGGGGATTGAACTCAGGGGCACTCAACAACTGAGCCACATCCCCCACCCCTATTTTGTATTTTATTTAGAGACAGTGTCTGAGTTGCTTAGTGCCTTGCTTTTGCTGTGACTGGCTTTGAACTCATAATCCTCTTGCCTCAGTCTCCTGATCCTCTGGGATTACAGACGTGCCATCATGCCCAGTGAGACTTATTTTAAAGTCCAAAATATGATCTATCTTGATAAATGTCTGGTGCATGTAAAACTAAGGCATTCCTCAGTTTTAACCATCCATAGATATGTAATTAGTTTTTAGTTACATTTACAGTAATTTGGAGGAGGTGGAAGTTACTGTCTTGAATTGTATCCATTTGATGTCTGGGCTACTCAAGGGCAGGCAGTGTCCTGTTTACCTTTCTATATCCCCTTGGCATTTTGCCCGGCCCCAGACCCTGGTTGAATGAATGGTGAATGAGAGACACTTAGAAGTTGTTAGGCTGTGTTCTTGGTTTTTGATTCAAAAAATGTGCTTCTTGTGTTAGGGGTCAAGACTGAGTCTTAACCCCCTGGTGTCTTTGTTTTCCCCCAGGACCTCACCCAGCTTGCTACATTGTAGCTGTTTAGTTGCAGTGATGATGTTGAATTGAACCAGAGAGATGCCTACAAAGGTGCTGCTTCTGACTTGTGGGAATTGAAAGCCACCCTGAGCAATAGATAGGCTGCTCTGGCCAAGGATGGAGGGGTTGTCCTGTCACAAAGCCTTCCCAAGACATGATGTCACACACAGACACCACTCTCCCTGAAAAAGGAGGGGCCTGTGCACTGGACTCCAGACGAAGTTGGGCCACAGTGCTTTTCTCAGGCGTGTCCTTGGGCCTTAGAGGAGGCGGGTAGGCTGCCTGGACACTGATATGCTCAAAGGATTCTCTTCATAATCACTAAACGTCAGCAAGGCTGGTGTGTCTGGTAAGTAAGCCTGAAAGGCTGCCCTTAATCATTGAGCACACCCAAGTAGGTGGAAATTCTTTGTGATGTTTCGCCTGCCCTTTGTGTGTCCCCTTCTGCTTGGCGTGCCCCTTCTGCCTGTCCCCCTGCTCTCCCTTAGGACTCATTCTCTCTCCTTTCCTCTAAACCTCAGAAAGAGCCTAATAACTTTATTCACACTCAAGTTATAAATGACCAGCAGAGCTCACCGCTGAGTGCTTCGCCAGCAGTATTCTCAGTAAGAGAATACAGCAGGTTTGCTTTCCGACTCTGATTAGGGCTCTGAGCAATAGGAGTGAGCCCCAGAATCCCAGGATCCTTCACTCATGTAGTCCTTGAGCTCTTGCTATGTCTCAGGCATGAGCCCATTTACTAGAGATTTGACAATGGCAGGCCTAATGTGGTCCCTCTGAGAGCCCCCTTGTTGGGGGACAGTAAAATGTTCTAAGAACACTAAGGCCAGCTGCTCCACCTGACTCAGGGAGTCAGGGAAGCCTTCCTGAAACAGCAGAGAAGCACATTCTAGATGGAGAAGAGCATGTGCAAAAGCCCGGAAATGAGTGTGTGAGGTGGGAGTTCAGTCTTTGTCATAACCAGCCTCTTGAGTGGGTGTGAATGAGAGCCCTGGGAGAGGCTTACCCCAGAAGAGAGGAGTGTCCAGGAGGACCAGAAGCAGCTCTGACACTTAGGCCAGGCAGAGGGAGAGGAGCACAGGAGGTGGGAGAGAGACCAGAGAAGGTGGCTCAATGAGAGGGAGGCACAGCGGCACCCAGCAGAGAAGAAGAGAGCCCAAGCCTGGAAAGCGCACACTGGATTTGGTGACTTGGAGCATATTGGTGACCTTGTGAGAGGGGTTTTAGAAGCATATGGGGCCAAAAACAGATTGAAGTGGGTTGTGGAGCGAGGGCAAGGTGGAAAGCGTTGAAGACATCCACCCAGGCAGCTCTTGCAGAGACGGTGTGAGAGGTCGGGGCAGTTAGGACTCTAACTGGGAAGGGATAAGGATTCAAGGAAGGCCTTTTTCACGGAAGAGATGAGGGATGTGTTTAAATGCTGGTGGGAAGGATCCAAGAAAAATGGAGGCAGCAGAGTACACCGGAGGTCCCTGAATGCCCAGGCGGTGAGAAGGCTGATGGAACCCAGAACAGGAGCAGGCAGCCTCGGAGAGGGCCTGGGAAGCAGGGGGTGAGTCAGGGAGGGGCTTGTTTGTGCTCTCTGCCAAGCAGAGAGGGAGCGAGGTAGAGGTGGGGTGGAAGATTTAAAGAGAACCTGAAATAGTCGCTGTGGACAGTGGGGAGTGATAGGGGAAACAGGCTTGCGGGCCATGCCAAGGGGCCTCCCACGCTGGAAACCTTGACTTTGCACTGGTGTCAGTCTGGGTGGGCTTCTGACATGCGCGGTGGGATCTCAAACAAGAGCTACCTTGAGGAAGTTAGGGAATCTCCACTCCCAAAATTATTTTTAAATGCTGCATAAGACAGAAAACACTTTAAAGTGTGTTTAACCATTTCACTTATTAGTATAATTAGCTACCTATACCTGGGGACTTTTTTTTTTATATACTGGGGATTGAACCCAGGGCGCTTAACCACTGAGCATGTCCCAGCGCTTTTTGGTTTTTATTTTGAGACAGGAGCTCATTAAGTTGCTTAAAGCCTTGCTAAGTTGCCAAGGCTGGTCTCAAACTTGTGATCCTCCTGCCTCAGCCTCCCCAGTTACTGGGATTACGGGTATATGCCACTGACCCAGACACCTGGGATCATTTTTTACCAATTGTCAGAACTGTGCCTTTTTTCCATAGTCCTATCCCAGTCCCCTTTTCCCATCCTGATCCACTGGGATCTATGTCTCCAGCTCTGAGGGCATTAAGATGAGCTTTATTTGGGGGCTCTAAGGTCTTGGGAGAAATTCCTGAGCATGTTTCAAATGCCTAGTGACTTTGGTCTCTCTGACTGGCCAGCCATCCCCTGGCTAAGCCCTGTGGGTGGAATTCCTGCTCTTGCCCCCGCTGCCTGGGTGTGCCGTCCCTGCTGGCAGTAGGGTAGGGAAGCACTGGGATCCTGGGCCTATGTGGTGTATTGACTGTTGCCCATTTTTTCTTCCTAGATTGAAAATGTTGTTTGGTCTATGCTGCCAGAGAGAGGGGTAAAGTTTATGTGGGCCCTGTTATCTTTCCCCAAAGGCCAAAGATGGGACCCCCCTACTTGGGCCTGAGAGGAAGGGAGAATAAGGTTCTCAGTTCTCCTTCCCCTGACTATTGTGTCTGTAGGATTCAGGGCCAGGAAAGGAGCTGGAGCTCGGGGTGGAGGGCCTGGTCCTGTGCCTGGCAGGAAGAACATGCCTGCACATGTGTGCACGTGTCCGTGTGTGCACAGCCAGGGAGCCACCGTCCTGGTAGTGCCAAGATGCTCTGCTTGTCGCAGGGGACGGGTCTCAGAAGAGGAAGTTGGGCCATGGAATATTATTCCAGTGTGTTGTGGGATGAGTCAGTTCAGAATAGGCAGAGCTGCGGGGAGAAGAGCTAATAATCCAGCACCAAATGAGCCAGTGACCACACAGCGAGGCCAGCGGTCTGTGACCTGTCACCTGGTTGGGCTTACCCGCTCAGTCAGATGCATCCCCTAAAGAATGACGGAGGGAAAGGAGGGAGGGTGTGAGGGGTTCCTTGTGTGCTCCCAGCGGAGCCCTGTTGCAGTTGAGTTCTGGTCACCTACAAATGTTGACTGGATGTGCCCTGGTGGAGTAGGTTCTAGGGCCTAGAACACGGGGAGAACCTCGTACCCACGGGTAAGGGCCAGAGACCTCTGCCTCTCACCCCACAATGCTCTCTTCCAGACTCTGCAAGCCCCTGTACATAGTACACGTCTTCATTCTAATAGGTAAGGCCCTGGGTGCTGGCATGGATTAGGGATGATGGCGGGACCTGAAAGACTGATTCCCACCCCAGGGCTACCTGACTCCAGGTGCCCATGGAGCTCCTACAGACCCTCCCCTAAGGCTGCTGCATTCCTGGCTCCCATGAGGGACTGGCCGCGTTGACTTGAGTCCATGCCGCCCTTCCCCACAGGACCACAGCAGTAGTCTCGGATCTGTGCCTGCATACCTCTGGAAAAACTCTGTCCCTGAGTACATTTTAAGTCAGCACCTAATATCTTTCACAAACTTAAATGGCTGAGGAGGATATGATTTCTGGCATGTTATAAATAAGGACATTGAAAATAAAGCAATCACATCGCCCTTAAATGCTTTAACTGGTCTTTTCTCACCAACCTGCAGGAGTGATATACTACTATTTCCAGAAGTCTGTGGGGAAAACAGCCCCTGACTCTGAGATTGCTGAGGAGTCATCACAGGTATGAACGTCTGGCTGTTGTGGACTGGAGGATGAGACAGCCTCACTTGAACCTGAATATGCTCCTCGACCATAAACAGTCAACCACCTACGTGTACAAAATACTACGTGAACATGAGGGCTCTGGAGAAATTCTGTCTGTCTCTGGCAAAGTGTCAGAGAAGAGCCTTATTCTCTCCCCTAGTCATGTGCTGCTTATGTGGTCACCTTAGGGCTCTATGGTGGTGGCCCAGAAAAACCTAATAGATCAGATGACCTCCTCACCAGTATGTAGGAGTGACCCTTTTGAGAATGGGCAACCAGGGGTCACAGAGTCTCCTTGATGTCCCAGGCCCAAGAACCTGTGGCAGAAGCTCCTACTTCTAGCCCTGCATGAGAATGCAAATGAATGCTGTATGTCCACTGAAGGACATGCAGTGGGTCAGGGGCTGCCCATCTGTCAGACCGCTTAAACCTCCAGAGCCAGTAGCTCCCACTTTATAAATGAGGAGACAGGCTCCAAAAGAGAGTACCTGGGCCAACTGACATGACAGGAAAGACCACATACTGCTCTCTGGAGGCCTCCTGATACCTCTCCAGTGCTTTTGAGGAAATGGTGGTTCATGCCCAGAGCTCCGGCAACATGGGAGGTGGAGGCAGGAAGATTGTAAATTCAGGGGCAGCCTCAGCAGCCTGGCAAGACCTTGTCTCAAAATAAAAATAAGGACCGGGCTGTGGCTCAGTGGTGCAGTACTCCTGGGTTCAATCTCTAGTACCAAAGAGAGAAAGAAAATGGGGTTCTAGTACCAAAGAAAAGAAAAAACAAGGTTATTGGTGACACTAAGGGTCACGGCTTTTGGGAGATTGGGGGAGCCCTCTATAAATGCCCACGATGATAAGTGCCTTGGAGATTATTACATCTTTGCTTTAAAAAAAAAAACCCTATCTCCATTTTTAACCAAAAATTATCATATTTGTGTGTCCATCTACAACTAAAAATATTTTTAGTTGTACATGGACACACAATACCTTTATTTAATTTATTTATATGTGGTGCTGAGGATCAAACCCAGTGCCTCACACGTGCGAGGCAAGCATTCTACCACTGAGCCACAACACCAGCCCCCCCTCATCCTGCTTTATCTTGGCATTTTCATACTGAATAAATTACTACAATGGAAGATAGGGTTTAGTGCTTATAACAGCTGCATACTTACTGCTACCTCCAACTAGCATTTCACCTCTCTCTGACTTTCCAACATAATTATAGTTTTTGGCATTGTAAATCTATGAGTAATTACTTCAATTCTTAAAAAAATTTAGATATGATTTTTTTTTATGATTTTTTATCATTTGGCTTTAAAGTTCCTCTCCCTAGCTCCCTCCCACCACTATGGGGCTCTTTTTATTTTTTTTTTCCAATTAAGTTATCATTTATACAGAGTAAAAGCCATCCATTTTAGTGTACAGTTCTAGGTTTTGACAGATATATACAGTTATGTAACCACTACCACAATCAAGATGCAAGTAGTTCTGTCATTTCAAAATATTCCCCATCTAGCCAGGCACATGCCTATAATCCAAGCTACTGTGGAGGCTGAGGAAGGAGGATTAAAAATTGGAGGCCAGACTGGGCAATTTAGTAAGACTCTGTCTCAAAATTAAAAGAGCTAGAAATGAACCTCAATGGGAGAGCACTTGCCTAGCATGAGGCCCTGAGTTTAGTCCCCAGTACTGCAAAAAGAAAAGAAAGAAAATCCCCTTACTGATTTGTGGTCAACACTTCCCCCACTCCCAGGCAACCTGTGAGTTTTGTCTTTGCAGAACTGTCACATAAATGGAAACACGTCGTTTTGGGCCTGGTTTCTGTCACTCAGCACCTTGCATTTGAAATTCATCCACTTGTGTACATCAGCAGTAGTAGTCCATTGTGTGAAGGTCACAGTATGTTTATCCTTCATCAGTTAAGAGACATGGATTGTTTCTAATTTTTGCTGATTACAAATAAAATAAATATAAACATTCCCATATGGGAACATAAGTTTTCCTTTAACTTGGATAAACAGCAGTGGGCTGTTGGGTCATATGGTAAGTATGAGTTCAAGAAATGTAAGGAACAAACTTTTCCAAAGTGATTGTATTATTCTGCAGTCTCATCAGCAATGAATGAGAGATTCCAGTTGTTCCACTTCCTCTCTAGCTTTTGTCTTTTTAAAAGCTATTCTAATGCATGATTATCAGTTTTTTAAGATCAATACATAACAAAAAATATGTAAACAATAATCTCTTGTAGTAGAAGATCACTCTTCCTTTTGGTTTTCTCTTTAATTTCTATAGTTTTCTCTGTCCCTATAGTTAATTCATCTAAGCTTTCTGCCAAAAATACAAATCTCCTTGCAGTGCATGTAGATGAGTCAGATGAGTTATCAACATGATCATTTTATGCAGACATTTCCTGGAACCCTGAATCTCCCTGCCTGCCTGTGGACTGGGTGCTCTGGAGGCAAAGGGCTCAGCTGTTCTCCTGAGACTTCCTCCACCATAATTCTGGGGACTCATCCCTTCTCTGTTATCCTCTTTCTAGATTACTCTTGAGTTGTTTCCTGAGTAGTCTTATACATTACTTATCTTAAAAAGGTATTTCATACTTGATCAAGCAGTTAGCTAGGTATAGAATTCTACATTGGAAATATTTTAGATTTTGAAGTTCTTCATTCTCTTCTAGTTTTAAATATTGCTGTTAAAAAATCTGATCAAGTTGCATTCCTAATGCTGAGGTGGTAGGTTTTTCATTATCCTTAGTGTTCTGATATTTATTGTGACAACATCTGGGTTAGGCTCCTCTTTGGTCCATTGTCCTAGATACTTGGTGATTCTTCCCCTCTGGAAACTTATGTCCCTCATCTCTGGGAAATTGTCTTGATAAAAAGTGTACAGGGCCTGGGGTTGTGGCTCAGTGGTAGTGCTCACCTAGTGTGCATGAGGCACTGGGTTTGATCCTCAGCACCACATAAAAATAAAATAAAGATATTGTGTCCATCTACGACAAAACATTAAAAAAAAAGAGGGGCTGGGGTTGTGGCTCAGTGGTAGAGCGCTTGCTTACATGTGCGAGGCCCTGGATTCAATCCGCAGCACGACATAAAAATAAAGAAAGATATAAAAAAATTTTTTTAAAAGAGGAACAAACTTACTTGACAGCTCTCCCTGCCAACACAGTCTGTTGTCTCCATTCTCTTTTTCAGAAATATTTATGATTTCGCATTTGGAGTTCCTGACCTCTCCTCTTTCTGGGAAATGTTATTTCCCAATATCTTATTTTTATATTTTAAGAAAAAAAAGCGATTTCAAGTGTTGAGGTGTAACATTTTTTAGCGCCTCCTATTCTGCTTTGTGAATACAAGAATCTTTCTAAAGATCTCAATTATAGGTGTTTTTTTAAGAGGTTAAACACCTGGTAGTCTTTTTTTTTTATTTAGACTTTTCTGTATGTCAGACTTTATTTTGTAAATTCTTTTTAGATGTATATACGTGACAGTAGAGTGATTTTGACATGTTATACATATGTGGAGTACAACTTAGATCTAATTAGGATCCCATTCTTGTGGTCATACCTGTGGTAGTTTCACTAGCCGTGTATTCATGTATGAACATAGGAAAGTTATGTCTAATTCATTCTACTGTCTTTCCTGTCCCCATCCCTTCTCCCTTCTTTTCATTCCCCTTTGTTTAAGCTCGTGAACTTCTTCCCTCCCTCCTTGTGTTAGTATCCACATTTCAGAGAGAATACTTGGCCTTTATTTTTTTGGCATTGGCTTCTTTCACTTAGCATTGTAGTCTCCAGTTCCATCCATTTACTAGCAAATGCCAAAATTTAATTTCCTTTTATGGCTGAGTAATATTCTATTGTGTAGAGAAACATTTTCTTTATTCATTCATCTGCTGAAAGGCACTTAGGTTGGTTCCATAGCTTAGTTATTCCGAATTGAGCTGCTATAAACATTGATGTGGCTGCATCACTGTTCATGTTGGGTTAAGTCCTTTGGGTATAAACTGAGGAGTGGGATAGCTGGGTCAAATGGTGGTTCCAGGGGCTGGGGATGTGGCTCAAGCGGTAGCGCGCTCACCTTCCATGCGTGCGGCCCGGGTTCGATCCTCAGCACCACATACATACAAACAGATGTTGTGTCTGCCGAAAAGTAAAAAATAAATTTAAAATTCTAAAAAAAAAAAAAAAAAAAAAAAAAAATGGTGGTTCCATTCCAAGTGTTCTGAGGACTCTCCATACTGCTTTCCAGATGGTTTTTACACAAATTTGCAATCCCACCAGCAATGAATGAATGAACCTTTTCCCTCACATCCTGACCAACATTTATTGTTACTTATGTTCTTTTTTTTTTTTTAATTTTTTATTGTGGGTTGTTCAAAACATTACAAATTTCTTGACATATCATATTCCACACTTTGATTCAAGTGGGTTATGAACTCCCACCTTCACCCCATACACAGATTGCAGAATCACATCAGTTACACATCCATTGATTTACATATTGCCATACTAGTGTCTGTTGTGCTCTGCTGCCTTTCCCATCCTCCACCCTCCCCCTCCCCACCTCTCCCCTCCCCTCCCCTCCTCTCTCTCTACCCACTCCACTGTATAACCCTGAGGGTCTCCTTCTATTACCATGCAATTTCCCTTCTCTCTCCCTTTCCCTCCCACCTCTCATCCCTGTTAAATGTTAATCTTCTTCTCCTGCTCTTCGTCCCTACTCTGATCTTAGTTACTCTCCTTATATCAAAGAAGACATTTGGCATTTGTTTTTTAGGGATTGGCTAGCTTCACTTAGCATAATCTGCTCTAATGCCATCCATTTCCCTGCAAATTCTATGATTTTGTCATTTTTTAATGCAGAGTAATACTCCATTGTGTATAAATGCCACATTTTTTTTATCCATTCGTCTATTGAAGGGCATCTAGGTTGGTTCCACAGTCTTGCTATTGTGAACTGTGCTGCTATGAACACTGATGTAGCAGTGTCCCTGTAGCATGCTCTTTTTAGGTCTTTAGGGAATAGACCGAGAAGGGGAATAGCTGGGTCAAATGGTGGCTCCATTCCCAGCTTTCCAAGAAATCTCCATACTGCTTTCCAAATTGGCTGCACCAATCTGCAGTCCCACCAGCAATGTACAAGTGTGTTACTTATGTTCTTGATAATTGCCATTCTGACTAGAGTGAGGTGGAATCTCGATGTAGTTTTAATTTTCACTTGTGAAATTGTTAGAGATGTTGAACACTTTTTCATATATTTATTGACCATTCATATTTCTTCTTCTATGAAATGTCTGTTCAGTTCCTTTGATTTTTTTTAAGTTCTTCGTATATCCTGGAGATTAATGCTCTATTTGAGGTGTAGATGACAAAGATTTTCTCCCATTCTGTAGGCTCTCTCTTCACATTCTTATTGTTTCCTTTGCTGTGAAGAGCTTTTTAGTTTGATGCCATCCCATTTATTTTATTTATTTATTAAAAAAAAGATTTTTTTTTAGTTGTAGTTGAACACACAATATCTTTATTTTTATGCGGTGCTGAGGATCGAACCCAGTGCCTCACACGTGCGAGGCAGGCGCTCTACCACTGAGCCCCAGCCCCAGCCCATCCCATTTATTGATTTTACTTGTGCCTTAGGAGTCTTATTGAGGAAATCAGTGACATGATGGAGATTTGGACCTATATTTTCTGCTGGTAGATGCAGGGTCTCTGGACTAATGCCTGGGTTCTTGATCCACTTTGAGTTTTGTACAGGGTGAGAGACAGGGTTTCAATTTAATTCTGCCTCATATGGATTTCTAGTTTTCCCAGCGCCATTTGTTGAAGAGGCGGTCATTTCTCCAATGTATGTTTATGGTGCCTTTATCTAGCATGAGATAGCTGTGTTCATGTGGGTTTGTCTGCGTCTTCATGTCTGTTTTGGTGCCAATACCATGCCATTTTGTTACTATTGCTCTGTAGTATAATTTAAGCTCTGGTATTGTGATGCCTCCTGATTCACTTTTCCTTCTAAGGATTGCTTGGCTATTCTGGGTCTCTCATTTTTCCAAATGAATTTCGTGAGTGCTTTTTCTATTTCTATGAAGAACATCATTGAATTTAATAGGAATTGCATTAAATCTGTATAGCACTTTGACAACGTTAATTCTTCCTATCCAAGATCATGGGAGATCTTTCCATCTTCTAAGGTCTTCTTCAATTTCTTTCTTTAGTATTCTATAGTTTTCATTGTAGAGGTCTTTCACCTCTTTTGTTAGATTGATTCCCAAGTATTCCATTTTATTTTTTGAAGCTATTGTGAATGGTGTAGTTTTCCTAATTTCTCTTTCAGCGGATTCATCATTGAAAACCTGGTAATCTTTAGGTGACTGCTTGTGAAGGCACTGACAGACCTCACCTCAGCCTTCCCTCTCTCTTTGTCATGTAGCCCATAGGAGAGACCTTGAGACCAATGTGGGGGCTGATGGACAAGTGCTACCCAGTGACCACTCAGGTGGGTAAGGGCTGAGGACACCTCTTCCCCTGCCATGGGGTAGCTGTCCTGGGGCACTCTGCAGGCACAGCAAGGGGGACTAAAACTGGAGAGGACCGGCCGGGAAGGACTCCCATTTACTGCTAGCTGTGTGTCACCTCTTTTGTCTCCTTCTGCAGAGACATAAAGTCAACACTGGAAAGAAGCAAGCCTCTGGGGTAAGTTAGGCTTGGAAGGGATGGGATGTGGCTCTCTTCCTGTGAAGCCATTAGACTTAGGGACACCCTACTTCCTGTCCCAGGAGTAATGGCAGGCCCCCTCAGGAAAACTTACAGACTTACCAAAGCTCAACCCAAAAGGGAGGGATGTCTCAGGAAAATCTAAGGGCTTTAACACCTCAAATTGAGAACAGGAAGAATAAGGTGTTCTGAGACCCTTGTTGCCCATATTCTGCCCTCTTGACACCCACCCTGCAGACCATGACCCCCAGGTCAATGGCAGGACAGAATGATGCTGCCTCCAAGGAGGAAAGTGACATCTTGTCTCAGGAGGAAGGGCAGGTAAGGTCCCCAGGAAGGAAGCAATCAGCCCATTCTTAGGAGGAGGAGGTGGAAGGAATCCCAAGTGCGAGGTAATGATGGCCTGGGCCTCAAATGGAACATCCCCCACATGGTGGTCCTGAGAAGCTGTGCACCACTGCAGGACGGGGAGGCAGTGGCTGGCTTTAACACTGCCAGGCCAAGTTGCCATCACTGTGGAACGTGGAGCTTTGTGTGAACTGAGAGGGGGCAAAGCTGGTGTGAGCAGGGAGTGGATCTGAATCCTGGCTTTCCCTGACATCTGGTGGAGCAGAGCATCAGTTCCCCCCACCCGCACAACACAGAACCTGCCTGAGCCCCCTACTGTGTCCCCTTCCTCCATCCCAGGAAAAGAGAAGGTGTCGACAGAGAACCGCTGTACCTCCATCTGGTAAGACGGCTGGCCCAACCCTGCTGCAGAGACCAGTGAGGGAGACAGGCCATCCCCTCTCAAACCTTCCTGACCCAGGGAGGAGAGGGAGAAAAACCAGGAGGCCAGATTCCTTGACCTTCCTGATTGAGCCTCCCCTGCCCTACTTGAGGAGGAGGTGGGAACTCCAGGCCCCTCACCAGAGCTGGCTGCTCATCTACCCTTTATCACAGCTCACTGGTCCCCCAGGCAACGAGGGTACCTTACCCTGGGTGAAGGTTTCTCCCAGCAAGGGACCCATCTGTTTGTGCCATTTAGAGGTGGAAAACAAGGAAGAAGAAGGGCCAGGGAGCTGGGGCCCCCAGCTTCTGAAAAAGTTCTGGCCTGGCTTGGTTCCCAGCTGTGGACACCCCAAAGATGCAGAACCATGAATGAGAAAAAGGATCCAATAAATCCTCAAGTTACTGCTATGTAAGGCCTCATTTCAGTTGCTTGATTTCAGGGGCCCCAAGCTGCCTGAACAAACCCACTCTGGCTCCATCCACACACTGTGTCCTGAGAGCTGCAGGGACGCTGCTTCCTGCCACAAAGCTGTCACCATAATGGATACTCTCGGGTGGCTCGAGGTGGCCCTGGCTGGCCTTCTGACTCAGGACAGGGAGCTCCCAGCTTGCAGGACACTACAGTAGGTCCTGCGAGCTGGGAGCTCCCTGTCCTGAGGGCACTCAGGAAAATGCTGGTTGAGCCCCAGAGGGATGCTGTGGGGTCCTCTGGAAAAGAGGCCTAGGAATGGCTTCTGCTCTGAGCATCTGGAGTTCTCCATCCCAGGAAATACATGGTCCTTAGATATCTTGGAGCCAGGGCAAGCCTATGCTTGGAGCCACAGGTGTCACAGCCCAGTTCATGGGAGCCAGATAGTATCTTCTCTTCCTCCTCCTCACCACAAACTGCACTACCCTGTGCGGGCTCACATGGCACATCTGGGTGCAGGATTTGAGCAGGCAGGACCAGGATGGCCACCATCCCCACAGTGATAAATCAATAGCACCTGATACTATTTCTCACTGAAGCTGCTCTCGGGGTCTCCCTTGGCCTGTGCCAGGCAGAGTAGGTTCAGGGCACCGAGGAAGGAACCTCCCATTCTGCACCCATCAGCCCAGGTGCTGGATCACTGGGTGATGCACAGGTCCCACGCTGCCTGGCCTCAGGCCTCCCAGGACCCTCAGCCCATATCACTAGAAAGTCATCAGTCAGGTCTCAGGGTGGCTGGGCTGGGTCCCAGGTCATCCTGTGCTCTGTCAACAGCTCGTCCAACGGGGTCATGAAGGCCTTCTGTGTGGGGAAGCCCCTGCCAGGCAGCCCCAGGACGAGCAAGAGCACAGGACTGCATTCAGCACCTGTGTTCACCCGGGCCAGATCCAGGTCCCAGCCTCCTCCAGGGTGGACCTAGAACCTGCCTGTTCCTGCCAGTGACCTGCTCCTTCCCAGCTGCCAGACTCCACACTTTCTTCTGGCCCTGGACTGCTAGAAGGAATGGGAATCTCATGTGCCTCTGTGGATCTGGCACAGGCAGGAGGCGAGGCTCATCTCCAGTCTTGGAGCCCTCACCTGTCCCATTACTGTGGTGTGCGCTCTGCCCGCCTCCAGGCCTTTCCTTCTGCAGTGGCCTCTCCTGGAATGAGTGACTTCTCCCCGTTGCCCCTGCATACTGTAGGCTGAGCTGCCTGGAGCGCATCCTGCCTGGATCCCTGAAGTGAGCGGCCTCCTTCATATCAGCCTGCAGTAGATCCATACTTGGAGCGGCTTGTGTGGGCGAGGGGGGCTTCATGTTGAACAGGCTGCTGTGTTCGGGAGAGCACTGGGGATAAAGGGGTGTCCTGGCAGAAGCAGGGTGGTTTGGGGGGCTGCCTTTTTCTCCCTACTCCCACCCGACCCCAACATTGTTCTTGTGAGCCCATCGCCCACTGGCCCATTCAGTGAAGGTGGCATAGAAGCAGGAAACCACCCTTGTCCCCACTGCCCCAGGGAATTCTTGCCTGGACCTAAGCTGCACAAGGTGGACATGGAGAAGCACTGCTTCCCTTGCCAGGTGGGCACCTCGGGGAACATGATCATCCCTGGGAGAGGAGTGGGCACATGGGCATGGCCAAGTGTGCTCTAGCTCTAGCTTCTGCACTGCCACCTGGATCCTGTTTCCACTACCACAGCCCCAGGTCAGCTCTATCCCATCCACTCCTCTGTCATCCCCCTAGAACCCCTCCATGCTGGAACCCTCTTGTACCTGTGTGCAGGTCCGTCTCCAGAGACACTGCTTCCCTGCAGTCCCTGGCTGGGGGAAGCTCTTCAGCCCACCCTCTGGCTCTGCCCACCGTGACAACCTTCCCACTCCAAATGGCACCAGCCCTGCCCTGGGTCTTGCCCATTCTACTGAGGCCTGGCCCATGCCCCCCTCCACCACCCCCGACAGGCTGTTGCCTTGCCCTCCTCTCCCACCCATTCCTGGAACTCTTTCTGGATTTGGTCCACAGGACCCAGTCAGTCTCCAGACCCTGTCCCCGTCTCCAATTTGCCTTGAGATCATGGCCCAAAGTTAAGGTGCTCCTAGATGGGTACCAGTGGTCTATCACGAGTGCCCCATCCTAGTTCACCAGCACCTTGTGCAAAGCCCAAGCCCACTGAGCACCACCAGCAGATTCCAGGACAGCCGCAGGCTGAACAGTTCCTGGAGTGGCAGCACAACAGGTGGAGGGGCAGGGCACTCCTCAAGTCAGGGTCCCCACATGGCTTCCAGTTCACTTCCACTGTGCCAGCCTCGGGGAATAATTTCTGGAATAATTTGAAAAGAACTGGTATTCATTCTTTAAAGGTTTGGTGAAATCAAGCAGTTATCCATGTGGCCCTGGGTTATTTGTTGTTGGGAGATTATATATTATTGATTCAATCTTGTTTTCTTTTGGGGGGGGCAGGGGGTGCTAGGGTTTTTTTTTATGTGGTGCTGAGGATTGAACCCAGCATCTCACCATGTGCTAGGCGAGCGCTCTACTGCTGAGCCACAACCCAGCCCCATTTGTTTTTATGTATTTAGATTTTTTTCTTTTCTTTTTTTGTTAGGTACTCTAGCTGAAGCCTCGTCGATTTTGTGTATCTTTATTTTTTAAATCAAATCTTAGTTTCATGGATTTTTTGTATTTTTTAGTCTTATTTATTTGTATGCAATCTGTTATTTCTTATCTTTCAGGGGTTTAGGTTTGTTCTGTTTCTTTGAGTTGCATCATTAGGTTGTTTATTTGAAATATTTCAGCATTTTTGATGTGGGCACTTACTGATATAAATTTCCTTCTTAATGTTGCGTTTGCGGTAGCCTGTAAGTTTTGGTATGTTAAATTTTCATTCAAGACATTTTCAAATTTCCTTGATTTCTTCCTTGATCCATTAGTCACTCAAGAAAATCTTATTTGATTTTCATGTAACTATCCAATTTCCAAAGTTGTTCTTGTGAATTTCTGGGTTTATTCCATTGTAGTCAGAGAAGATTGCAGGTATGATTTTTGCCTTTTTAAAAAATGGATTGAGAATTGCCTTGTGGCCTATCCTATGGTCTGTCCTGGGGAATGTTCCACTTGGTGATGAGAAGAATGTGTACTCTGCAGATGCTGGGTGAAATGTTCTGTAAATGTCGGTTAGAGCCTCTTGGTCTATATTTTTTATTTTTTCTTCTTGGTGGTGCTAGGGATCAAACACAAGAAGGCAAGTGATGAATTTTGAGGTCTCTGTTCATTTTTTTGTCTGAATGAGCTTTCCATTGATGAAAGTGAGTTGTTGAAATAACAATTATTGTTGTATTTGAGTCTGTCTCTTCTTTTAGGTCTTATAACATTTGTTTTGCACAAGTGGGTACTCCATTATTGGATGTGTGTGTGTGTGTGCGCGCGTGTGCATATATATATATATATATATATATACACACGCGCGCACACACACAACTGTAATTTCTTCTTGATAAAATGAACCCTTTTTCATCCTATAGTAACCTTGTCTCACAGGTTTTTTTTTTTTTTTGTACCAGGGATTGGACCCAGGGGTGCCTAACCACTGAGCCACACCCCCAGGTCTTTTTGTGTTTTATTTAGAGACAGGGTCTCACTGAGTTGCTCAGTACCTCTCCAAGTTGCTGAGGCTGGCTTTGAACTTGTGATCCTCCTGCCTCAGTCCCCAGCCCCTGGGATTACAGGTGTGCACCACTGTGCCTGGCTTCATTTTATAGTTTTTG